GGTACCAGCGTGGGCCAGGAGGTGTTTGAGTGCTGTGAAGTTCGGATGGAAGGACTGTTTTTCAGTTCAGACAGATTTTCAGTCTGTCTCATTTATATAAAATCATGTTTAAAAGATGTATTCCTAGGATTTTTGCTCTGAAATTTCTCTTTAGCAGCGCACCATGATTTCTGTGTGCATTTCCTCAGTGCAAGAAACTAACTTTCTGCTTTGTAATGCCACTATTGGAAACTGCAGAGGTAGTGATAGGATAGATAGATAGAGGTAGTGATAGCATTATAATCTTTTACTTGATAGAAAAGTTTTGTTTGCGGCCAAAAGTTTCTTCCAGGTTACCAGATGTGTTTGTGGATGACTTTCAAGATCCAAATAACACAATCATGCAGAACATCATGAAGACATTCCACAAGGCAATGAAGATTCGGGGAGGAGGAACTTTGCCATTCCTCTGGTGCTGATCTTTGCCACGAATAGGTGCAACAGGTCTGAGAATTGAGGAGCGCCTGGTGTAGCACTCAGCTGCAAGCAGGAGGAAGGAACAAAGTGATGGAGCAGTGAGTGCTGCTGCATGCTGAGGCTTCTCCAGCTGTGTCTTGTGGCCCCTTGTCCCCTGAAGGCGTGGTGTGTGACCTAAAGAGGCACTGATCTGCTCTTGGGCTCCTCAGCAGCCTGTGACATCCTCTTAAGGCCATTCTGTCAATGAATATGCCAATGATAAAGTGTTCGGGGTTTTTTTGTACCCTGCATTTCACTGAGGAGGTGTGTTGTCACTCGTTACCTTGCTGGGCAGGTTTAATGGGGTGGAGGTTCTGGGAGAACTGGTGGGACTGGAAGTAAGTCATACTCCTTCAGTATTAAAATTGAGCTAGGCTTCTGAATTAAAAGTGGTTATTTGCCTGATTTCCCTTTAGATGCTCTAATATACCCAGGGAACCAAGGCTAATTGTCTGTTGCATGGCTTTTGGTTGGCTCAGATGCAGACCTCAGAGTGGGAGGAGAGCAAGGAAAGACCTATGGGTGGGAAATCAGGGACGTAGCACACTTTGGAATCTTTTAATCCCTTCCTCCTAAAGTAAATGAATGAATTTGTAATATTTTCTTTGAGCAGAATTCCTTGTGTCTGTTCTGTGGGCTGTTGTGTCGTCCAAAGACTTCTAAACCTTCTGCAGACCTAGCACACTGCTTAGGAAAACGTGCACAGCTGTGCATGCACTTAGGCATAGCAGTTGTGCTTTTATGAACTGTCTTTGTACAAATGTAATGACACCAATACAGGCAAGTTTAATGAACGAACTGGGTTTGTTTTCAGATAACCTCAGTTGTGTCAGCACAAAAGCTGTGCACAGACAAACCTTTGCTTTTGCTACTTACACGGCAGTACAGTGGTGAGATGTGCTCTGCAAGGTGTATCGTGCTGCTTTCCTTAATCAAGAGGAAACTGAGGAGATGGTGCGAGGCACTTCAGGAAAAAGTGGCAGTAGAGAGGTCTTGAGGTGCTTTGCTTATTCTTTTTTGGATTGGGAGAATAGAGGGCTCTGGATATCAAGGAAGAAGCGTGCTTGGCAGCCACTCAGAGATTGTTTCAAGGGTACCGTAGTGGCATTGCCAGCATCAGGCATCAAAGCTGGCCTTCTGCATCCAGTTTCCAATCAGCCCCATGCAGTACAGCTGTAAGCATTCGTTGTGCTGCTACCACCTGGCTGTGGCTGGGTCTGATTCAACTCTGCTACTGGTCCTAAAAGGAATAATTAGCTGTGCTTTAATTTAACTGAACAGGAAAGGTTCAGGTAGGCCAAAGCCTGTGCCACCAACTCTCAACAAAGACAACTTTTATTTTGAGAGGAATGCATTTTAAAAGCCCTGTCTTTCCTGTGCCAACTTCCCTCCAGCTGCTTTGCTGGTAGCAGGATCCTAATTAGAACTCTCCTGGCACAGAATTCCTGTTCTAATGCACGTGTGTTGCCATTGATTTTCACAAGGCTGCTCAGGTGAGGTTAAACAGCCACAGAGTGATACTGAGCTCACAGCTGCAAGCCTGCAATAGGTTAAAAGCACCCGGTCAGACTGTGGATAGTGAATCCTGGTTGTAATGAAACGGCTGGTAACTTCTGGGGAAAGCAGGGGTGGCATTTCCCCTGTGATTTTCAGTGGCAGCATTTCCTAAGGGGTGCGGATTCACTTTCCCATTTAAAACTATTTGGAATCCTTCCACCAACGATCAGTGGTGTCACACTGGGCCGTACTGCTGTGCCATGACACACAGCGCCCAAATATCTGGGGCTGCCCCAAGGAACCCCAAATGCTGATGCAGGCAGCCCAGCATGGCAAATCCTACAGCTGTGCTGCTGCTGACCTTGGCCCGCTGCCTGCTGCGCCTCCAGCCCCAAAGCTTCTTGGATCTCCTTGGCTTGCCTGGATCTCCAACAATCTCTTGGCAGGTGAAAATGGCTTACTTTGAAGGAGAGGCAGATTCCCCTTTGGTCTGCAGTTCACTGCACCAGCACCCGCCTTGCAGCGCGTGTTTGCTCCCAGCCTGGTGCCTCTGCTGTGCTCTGAATGTTCCTCCTTTAATGAAGTTCTTTAATTACTGTTTTTCTTTGTGGAATGCCTCATGGTCTCTTGGTCTTTTGATACCATCAGACTGAAAGGGAGAAGAAAATCCTTTAAACAATTTTCTAACTCCCCCTAGAGGATTTCCTTCTGGGCCCAGCACTGGCCACGCAATGGGAGCAGCAGAGCAGTGGCTCACTGTGTCTGCACAGCTGGGTTTCAGCACAGACTGCATTTTTCCAGCACCCACAGAGTGCTTTTCTTTTCCTGTCAGTTCCTGCTAATGTCTCCCTGACTTTATTCCCACTGTTCTTTAAATATAAATGCTCACAGGCCGTTTTTCCTCAGGCAACACAGGCCTGGCATTCTCTGCCAAAGGATCCCACTGCAGCTGTTGCAGCCTGGAGAATGGCTGTTCTCACATCTATGGATTCCTCCAGACCAAATTTTGGGATGCCCCTCATCTCTCCCATCACACCATTGAGTCTCACTGCCCGCTGCAGGTGTCTGCTCATTTCTGTGATACCATCTTTTCCCCCTGTCCCATCTAAGGGTGCCCATAGGTTGCTTGCATTTCTGCACAGTCCTGCCTATTGCTGCCCACTGTGTCGTGCTCCACCTGCTGAGAAATGCCATTCGAGTGGAACAGGGGATGTGGCTTCTTTACAAAGGGCGCAGGAAGGATCAGAGCTTTGTGATACACCATCTGAATGTGGGCCTTCCCAGAAAGGTGCCAACTTTGTGCCTGTGGAAAGGAAAATCCTCCACGGTGCTCTGCATGAACACCTTCTGGTGAGTGTTCAAACAGTAAGGGGCTCACTCTGTTCCAGATGTGCTGTCTGTTTAACCACTCAGTCCCCATCACTTGATGACATCAGGGAAATGCTGTTGCAGCAGCAGGAAAAAGCCGTCCCGGCTCTCTGCTCTTCCCCTTCTTGGCTCCAAATCCCTTTGTTCTCTTCCTTAGCACGCAGCCATGGGTCAGGAGCTGGGTTATTGCTGCACTGAGCCAAGCTTGGTTTGACAGGGGTGTTGCAGCCACCCCTCATTGCCTAAAGGAGCTGTTAATCAGAGGATGGTCAGTACCACGGGGGGAGGCGATCCTCCCCTCTGCTCTGCCCTGCTGAAGCCACGTATACAATCCGCTGCCCAATTCTGGGCTCCCCACTTCAAAACAGCCCAGGTTATCCAGAAAAGAGCCCAGAGGAGGGACGCAAAGATACACAGAGCGTCTCCTGACGTGGGAAGGCTGAAGGCCCTGGGTCTGTTCAGCCTGGGAGCGATCTGATCCAATATCCGACGGGGCTCCGCAACAACCCTGTGCCCCTCTGAGCCCCCAGGGCGAAGCACGCGGCGCCGCACCCAGCCGCGGCCTCCCGACGCCATGCCCTGCAGCTGCTGTGCGCATGCGCACAACGGGCAGCACCGCCCCGCAGCGCCGCCATGGCGTTGGGGCTGCGGGTGGTGCGGATCGCGCTGCTGCTGCTGCTGCCGCTGCCGCCCGGCGGTGAGGGGCAGCCGGCCGTGCTGAGCAAGGGCCGTTTTGTAGGGGGTGTTCCCCAGCCCAGCGCTGTTAGTCTGGGGTAACGTTTGCTGTCGGTTTTGTTTGCAGCTCCGTTACTGGTTTGTGGTTCCTCCTGCTGGGGAGGCGGTTCTCATAAGGGCAGGTGGCGACAGGGTGGGGGAAAATGGCTTCAAACTGGAAGAGAGTAGGTTTAGAGCAGATATCGGGAGGAAAATCTTTACTGTGAGGGCAGTGAGGCACGAGCACAGGTTGGCCAGAGGTTGTGGATGCCTTCTCCCTGTGCACATTCAAGGCCAGGAGGGATGGGGCTGTGAACAACCTGGTCTGGTGGGAGGGGTCCCCACCTGTAGCAGGGGTTGGAACTGGGTGGTTGTTAAAGTGCCTTTCAACCAAAACCGTTCAGCACCAAACCGTTGGTGCTGGAACAGCTGCCCAGAGAGGCTGTGGATGCCCTGTCCATCCCTGCAGGTGTTTGGGGCCAGGTTGGATGGGGCTCTGGGCAGCCTGGGCTGCTATGAAATGGGGAGGTTGGGGGCCCTGCATGTGGCAGGGGATTGGAGATTTGTGATCCTTGGGGTCCCTTCCAACCCTGGCCATTCTGTGGTTCTGTGATCTGCCATCGTTCGTATCTCAGAAAACACAGAATTAGGAGATAGTGTGAAGGGGTTTAGGTTGAGCAGTTGCTGTATGATAGGAGTTGCCTTTGATGTTTTTCTCTTTGTGCATCTTTAATTATTCACCTGTTCAGGAAAGCATACCACCTCGTATGGCAGCATTAACATATCTTCTGTAAATAGGAAGAGAACAATAATTCTAGCACGAGTGCATTTGTACTGAAGTTTGCTACTGGTGATGTAGGCTGGGGGGTGAGCAAAGCAAACATGCACCATTTACACACTGTAAAAGCCATTTAATTCTCTTACAGCATCAGGGACAACCCTGTCCAGGCCAGGAGAAGCAGCAAAGGATGAAACCCTGGGGCACCTGCTGGCTGTTCTGCACCACACTGCACGAGGAGCTCAGCACGCAGCAGGAGCTGCCACCCCCAGCAATAGCACCGCTGCTCCTTGGCTGCAAGCATGCAGGAGGAAGGCTGGGGAGCAAAAAGAGCTGGTGAGGGGCACGGTGAGAAGGAAACCTGCTGTGCCAGCAGTGCCATCCCCTCTGCCCCAGCCAGATGTTTCTGTTGCTTTGTGTGGGTTTGAGTCTGCACAGCTGGCAGCAGCCATGGCAGAGCTGGCATCAGCATTGCAGACTGGGGGTGCAAAAAGGGAGAATGGCATCCTTGATCAGTTGAAGAATGGATTCGGTGACGTCTTTAAGGAGTGTTCTTGAAGAAGCCATGCTAAAAATCACACTGAAGCTTCGAAACTCCAAACCTGCTGCGAAATGATGATGAAGGTTGCTCAGTGGGCTTCTCCAGACTGCAGGGGTGCCTATGGGCGTGCAGGATGACAAGGCAGTCACATGTGGAGTATCAGCAGTTACACACAACGTTCTGTGCAAATGTGACGAGAATAAATTGGCTCCAGCAATTCTTCTTTCTCTTCTTCTTTACTTTTAGGCGGACATATTTTCATTTCTGATCACTGGAAAGCAAGTTTGTACTGGTGCTATTTTTATTTCCTGCTGCTGGTTGCCAGATTTGTGGCGCTGTATATTATGTCTGTTTTCTTTCTGCTGGTTTCAGTAAAATTCCTAGAAAGCTTCTGTCAGCTATTGCTCTTCCTTGAAGCTCAGCCCTCTGCACGGGTTCAGGGCTGGAGATGGGAGCTCACTTTCCTTTTGGCATAAGGGCACTTTTAAACTCAATCTGTTCAGCTGTGTGGTTTTGAGTTCAGTATCCAGGACATCCTCCTCCATCCTTTTTGGTCATTAGAATGGATTCATGCCGTGATTCTGTTTAAAGTTTGTTGTATTTGGTTAAAATATTTCCTTAAACCTTTTTTTCCTTCTGCCCAGTGGAAGTTAGCAGTCCGTGTTCCTGCTGTGGGTCGCCAAGGCTGCGGAGCAGGGAAGCCAGGAGCAGTGAATGCATTTTGAATACAGAACCAATGGTCTGCGGTGCCTGGGCCAACGGTTGGATCACTGCCTTCAGAGAACCAAATGTGCCCTTTTATTTTTTCAGAGTGTTTCAGTGGGGATCCATAAAGGCAGCGTCAGATCAGTTCTAAACCAAGGAGGTCATTGTGGGAACGTCGCAGCCAGATGCTCCTTCATGGTTCTGTTGAAATCCATTTTTGTTTTGATTTGACGTGAAAAGCTTCAGCAGGACTGAATGAACATCAGCCTTTAAAAGGGTACGGAGGGGCTGCAGCTCCTCGGGGAGAGCGCTGGGGCTGAGCAGCACTGCTGGGATTGAGAGCTGCATCCAGCGTCTGATCGAAGGTGAGCAGTGTGGGTTTGGGCCTCTGTGTTTTGTAGCTGTGCAGGTGAGGTGTGTCGATAACAAAGCGGCTCAGCACAGGTGGCAGATTGCAATGTTGGCAGCGCTGGGTGCCATCCCCTGTGCTCTGAGGCTCAACAGGATGGCAGGAGCTCCCGAGGGCCCCAGTGCTCTCAGCCATCCCACTGCTCGCCCTGCAGGCTCCCGGCACCATGAGCACAGCTGAGGATGCAGCGTGGCTGAGCTGGGTGACGGAGCGGTTCCAGAGCATCGCAGGGCAGGGTGAGGAAATCGGCCTGGAGGAGTTCAAGGCGGCCCTTCAGGTGAAGGAGGTGGGCGCTGGACCCTGCATTGATCTCCACTTATCAGTGAGGCTGAGCACTGCTGGCAGCGGGAGCTCACTTTGCAGTACGAGCTCTGGGCTGTGCAGAGCATCCCAGAGCTGCCCCAGCACATCCATCCTCTGCAGTCCTTCTTTGCTGAGCGTTTCTTCGCGCTGTTTGACGTGGATGGCAGTGGTACCATCAGCCTGGGGGAGCTGCACAGCGCCCTGAGACTGCTGCTGCACGGCACTGCTGCCGACAAGCTGCGCTTCCTCTTCCAAGTCTACGACGTCGATGGTGAGAGGGTGGCTCAGTGCACCCAGCCCTGAATAGTGCTCTTCTGTCCCGTCGGGATGGGAGTAGCACCCATCTGTAAGGCAGCAGATGCACCGACCTTGTTAGCTTTGCTTGCGGAGAGACAGCCATGCATTGTGTTCCCTGCTGCCCTTGGTGGAGGGGAGAAGCCCCGTGGCAGCATCGGAATGGGAATGAATTTTAGATCAGAATTCTCTCCAACTCCCCCAAACCAACGTGCTGGTGAAGGATGGCATCGCTGCGGGTGGGCGCAGCTGTCCCTTCAGGCAGGAGGGGATGGCACTGCAGTGGAGGGGCTTGAGGCCGGGCTGTGAGGCGCTGCTGCTCTCCCTGCAGGCAGCGGCTCCATCGACGCGGCCGAGCTGCTCCTGGTGCTGCAGGCCTGCCTGCGTGAGAGCGAGATCTCACTGCCACCACAGCGCCTGCACGACATGGCCGGGGTGCTGCTCGAGGCGGCCGACAAGGATGGCAATGGCTCCATCACCTTCCAGGAGCTGCAGCAGCAGCTGGAGGCCTTCCCGGGGCTGATGGAGAGCCTGACCATCAGGTAGGGATGTGGTTCCGTGGGACGCTCTTCCCTCTGTGAGAGCCTCTTCCCTCCTGCTGTGCTGTGGGGCTTTTGCTCTGTGGAGGCTCTCAGGCCTGCAGCAGGAGCAGCTCAGGGCTGCTTTCCAGCAGAGCGGGGTGCCCTGCGGCGCTGCTGAGGGCATCTCAATCCTGTCCCTTTGCTCAGGAGCGTGCTGGGGTGGCTGCAGCACTTGGGCTTGGGGTGGGGACTGGGATGTGGTGTGAGGGTGGGTGAGCTGGGGTGCAGGGGTGGGTTCTGGGATGGGTAGTGGGGTCATAGGATGGGTTGTGTTGGAAGGGACCTTGATCACCTAGTTCCAACCCCCTGCTGAGGGCAGGGATGCGGGTGAACTGCTGGGGCAACAGGATGGTGGGCAAAGGATTTGCACGCAGGGATGCATGCAGGGTCAGTGCCCAGATAGGAGCAGGGTTGGATGCAGGACACTATGAGGTGCCTTGGCAGTGCTGCCAGCTGGCTGAAGCCCCCAGCACCGACACGGCAAAGCCGGCGGCCGCGCTGCCTGACTTCGTGGTACTGGCACAACCGCCGTGCCCAGCTCGCCTTCCTCGGGGGCTACGTCAGCCTCAACCTGCTGCTCTTCATCCTGGCTGCCCTGCAGCACGTCAGCCGCAGCGGGTGGGTGGCGGTGGCCAGGGGCTGCGGGCAGTGCCTCAACTTCAACTGCGCCTTCATCGCCGTGAGTGCGGAACACCGGGTCTCTGGGAGGGGGATCGAGGCGGCGGGGTGACGCCGCTGGGCGTCCTTAAGGTCCCCGAACCGCCCCCGCCCCGCAGGTGCCGATGCTGCGGCGCTGCCTGACCCGGCTGCGTGCCACCGCCGCGGGCAGAGCGCTGCCCCTGGAGCGCTGCGTGAGCCTCCATCAGCTGCTGGGGAGCGCCGTGCTGGCGCTGGCCGTGCTGCACACCGGAGCGCACGTGGCCAACTTCGGTAAGCGGGGAGGATGCGGGGCCGGGGAGGGGCTGGGGTTGGGGTTGGGGTTGCGGTTGGAGATGCTCGCTTCGTGCGCTGCCTGCTATCCCCCTCTAGCGGCTCTCCCAGGCGGGCAGCGCCGCACCGGGGCCTGCAGACCTTTCCCACTCCCTCCCTGCTTCCCCCGCGCCAGGAGCTCCGGTGCCCGCGGTTCCTATGGTCCTCGCGTGGTATTTTTGCACAAGGACACATGTTTCGTTTTCAATATATCTGAGCGAACCCAGACTGTGCTTTCATACACAGCTACTCAGACCCCTCACCGCTGTTCTGCTTGCAGGCAGGCTGGCACAGGCTGGGCACGGTGCCCTCTCCGAGTTCCTGCTGATGGCACATCCCGGTGGTGGGGGGCTCGGTGGCACAGCCCCACAGACCGGGCTGGCCCTGCAGGTGCTGCTGTTTGCCATGCTCACCTTCTCCAGCCCCTGCATCCGCCGTGGTGGGCACTTCGAGGTACATCAATGCACACAAACACCCCAAAGGTGCCCCATCCTGTGGCACTGAGCCCTGCACAGCCCGCCCCTGCTGACCCGCATCCCCTGCCTACAGCTTTTCTACTGGAGCCACCTCTCCTACATCATCATCTGGGCTCTGCTCTTCTTCCATGCTCCCAACTTCTGGAAGTGGTTTTTGGTTCCCGGGGGCCTCTTTGTGCTGGAGAAGGCAGTGGGCACAGCTGTGTCTCGTGCCATGGGGCTGCGCATCGTGGAGGTCCACCTGCTGCCTTCCCAGGTGCGTGGCCCAAACTGTGGTGTGCACAAAGGGCCCTGTGGGTTGGGGTCGGGCTCCTCCAGCCCCGCATGAGAGACTCAGGGCTCTGCATCTCCTCCCCTGCATCACAGCACTGCTCCTTTCTTTGGCTTCAGTAAGGTTGGGTGAAGTCTTCAGATTCAACTGTGCAGAGACGTGTTTTGGGGTCACTTGGCAGCATTCAGGAAATCCGCAATGTTTTGGTGAAGGATTGCAGCGAGAGGTGAAAACACCATTTCTTTGGTAAATCACCACCTGGATGCTTTCTGCTCCTCCCAACCCAGGTCACCCACCTGGTGATCCAGCGGCCACACTCCTTCCGCTACGAGCCCGGGGACTACGTCTACCTGAACATCCCAGCCATTGCTGCCTATGAATGGCACCCATTCAGCATCAGCAGTGCTCCTGAGCAGCAAGGTGTGCTGGGCAGCCCAAACTGAGGCTTCTCTTTGGCATCGCCAGGATGTCCTGCATCCCATGAGCATCCCATGAGCATCCCACCGCCATCCCTCCTGTGCTCTGGTGCAGGGGTGCCGGTGCTCAGGGCATGCTGTGCTCCAGCCCTTGTGCCACTGTGATGTCCCCATCCCACAGACACCATCTGGCTGCACATCCGCTCTCTGGGGCAGTGGACCACACGGCTCTATGAGTTTTTCAGGCAGCCAGAGCTCCTGCAGCTCCACGGGAGCCTGGAAAGGAAGAGGTGGTGGCAGCGGGTGCAGGTGGGTAAGGTTAAACCCTGCCATGTGCCATCTGCATGGTGGGGTGAGGGCAGTGCCTGTGGGTCA